ACACCCGCAACAGCGCAGGGTGGAGGGGGGTGGGATGTGGAGTAAATGCTTTTAAGAAAATAAGGGAGGGCAAGTTTGGGACGAACACTGCTTGACATGAGTTCTTTCACTTTCCCCTTTAACTCTCTCCTTACCTGCTGGTGGAATCATCCTCATCTGAATCGAAGAAGCTGGTGGTCTCCAGTTCACTACTCATCAGAGTAGAGGAGCTTTCATAGCCCCCGAGTTCTCGCCGCCGGTCCCCCTTGGCCACCCCATTCACCCTAGGTGCTGGAGGGAACAGATGTTCAATTTTTCTCCGTGAAAACGTATACAATCCATCAACCTGTTTCGCTTATTCACTGTTGCATTTCTCCTCCACCCTCGTAGGGCTCAAGGCCCTGCATGTGGCCGGCTGGGGTGGGGTGGGGAGCCTTCTGCATGTTAATTCCAAAATAACCACCCCAGAGGGAGCCCATGGCCCAAAGTCACCACATGTCACCTGTCACTGCCTGCTTAACTCAAGTGCTCATCTTCCTGGCCCTGCAGGGCTACCCTGAACCCCAGGAAAAGGCACAGCTCTTTCAAGAAGGTCCAAGCCAGACTGGAAGCATATTGTATTTGTATCATATCACAACACATCATATCATTCTATTTATTGGATTTATAGAGCTGCCCAACTCAAACAATGTGACTCTGGGGGACGTACAACAACAAAAAATAAACAATAAGCCAAAAAAGGACCACATATGGTTAAAACATAGACAATGTATAAATATGAAATACAGAATGGTGACCAAAAACAACCAAAAGGGGACTCCCCTCAATATTAGCCCACTTTGGAGCCAAATCCTGAATGCGCCTATTGGCTCAATTCACCCAGTTCCCAAACTTGCTAACTGCATTTTAGCCTATCATGTTGGGAGAATCCAGCCTCCGGGGTGAACTGAGTAAATTAGGATTTACCATGTGGAAAAGTGTTGTGCAAACACAGCCACAGGATTGATCTCAAGGGGGAAAAGATCCTCACCGTGCTCAGGACCCTCTTTCCTTCGTGGCCGTTCCCTCGGAACTGACACCACGGAATCTGTCTCTGTCTCATTATCCAAGTTCTCTCGACTTCCTCCGGTATTTGGGCTGCAAGGCAAAAATACACACTTCAGTAGGCAGCGAAGGCACGCAGATGGGTGCCTCTGTTCTAGACAAGCGGCCACTGAGAAGTCCTGGTGGCCAACTCAAGCAGGCAGCAAACACACAGGCCACTCTGGAGCCCACCACTTCACGGTGCGTGGCAGGGACCGCGCACAGACCTCCCCCACCTTCATGTTAAAAAGGAACCAAATCTAAAAACTCACTACCCGCTCTGTACATGGAAAGTAGCGTATTTATGAGAAAGCTATTCAAACTGCTTCTACTTGCTACTTTTCCACGTTTAAGGTAAAAATGGGAACGTCTCCAATCAGATGAATCGCCCAATGAATTCTTGAAGCGGGATGATCCAGAACAGGTAGCAGCCCGTGCTACTTCTCCACATTAATAATTGGCCTGGGGCAGATGCCACTGTGGAGTCCTTAGGGTCCTCTAAGCTGGGCTCTTTTCATTCATTCATTCATTCATTCATTCATTCATTCATTCATTCATTCATTCATATTTCA